CATTTTTGCAACTTTTTAACTTTATATAAATTTTAATGTGTTTTTGTCTGTCTGCAATTATAAAAATGTCAAGAATTACTTCAAATTAAAAAAGATGATGAAATATACCACAAAAATTTCAAAAATATTTTAGTGTACAATATATTGACAGGCTGAAAAACGTGTATTAAATTTTCCTTATTTGAGTACAGTTCAAACAAAACACGTGTTACAGTCACAAAATCTCTTAAACTCAATGTTTGTACTTTTTTTGTAAATAAATTCCATTTTATGTAAAATTTAAATTAATTAACAAAAATAAGGCGTAAATTATTAAAACTGAAGTGTATCGCTTTAAACAAATCAAAATATGATTAAAAAAAAACAAGTATGAAAATGTATTTATATCGGCAGTAACGAATCCTATATGCACTTCATTTTAATTAAAAAATTTTGAAGAACTATAATTTGTTGCACAAGTTTTGCCAATTGTTGTACGTACCAGCCAAAAATATTTATGATAAATTTTACTCCATAAATATAATAGAATTAGATATATCTTCAATATCATACATCTTAGACTTTTTATAATTTTATATAAGAATTATATCTTTGATAGAATTTGCGACCAACATGTTACATTTCTTACGATAAAATCAACATATCCTCCATTGTTTTACTACTTAAAAGCAAAAACAAAAATACATTTTACAATCAACATTAATATGGTTTTAATTGTGCGAGTAAATTTAAATTTAGACTGAAAAGTTTATTTAAAAACATTATATTTCCGTTTTGAAACCTTAAAACAATAAGTTCAACTCAGAGATGCTGTCATTAATTTGATTCATTTGTTAATTTTATTTTTAAAATTAAATCAATTTAATTTATAAATAAATTTACAATTGATTGCATACATTATGCATTATTAAGAATAGTAGGTGTTTACTTTAATACGTATTCATTGGTTTTCAATTTATTTCTACATACTCTCATGTTTAATAAAAAATAATCCATTAAAGTCATTTGTTTGGTTAATTAATTTTGAAAAAACGTGTACAAATATCGATTTATGCGATTGTATTCAGAAATTATGTGTAATTTTTCACTCAAGTTCTATTATAATGTGTGTAATTATTGAATTGTTATCTTCAATTTGAAATCTTGGAAATCTTAAACTTACTTAGATTTCAAATACTAAAGATAACAAATTGCTTTTGTAAGCTTGAAATGGCAAGAATAATTAACCCCACGGACAATGTGACATGTTAAGAAATATGACAATTATTTATGGTTTTATTACAACTTAATTTAGTGCAAAGTAATTTATGGAGATTTTTTTAATGTTAATCAGAGATGGTTGTTGGTATTGAAAAAATCGAACCACTTAAGTTACGTCCGTCTAATGTAATTATATCATAATACCGCCTAAACGACGCACGGTGGGGAAATAATTGTGTTTTAAAGTTTTAAAATTGGTGTTCATTTAAACACTTTGGGTCCAGTGGTGCGCAAAGTAAGACACCCAGAATTTCTGAAAAATTTTAAACTATCCCAGTTTTTTTATTTCTGATCCACCTTTTTATTTTATTGTTTCTTAACCACTTTTCCTGTTTTAGCATGCATCATTTTTGATGAAATTTTCAGAGGTTGACTCGTATATTCGCTCATATGTCTAATTTTGCAGATTTTAAATAAAAAACTTCTAGAAAGCATGTCTGATAGAATTGTTCAAATTTTGGATAACAAAGATATATGGGGTCTTCAGAAAATATATCTCACTCACGAAGGTGAAGGGTATAAAAACGGAGATTATGCTCCATATATTTTCAAGATACTTCTATTCATCTTAACTAATCTAAATTAAACAAGTAAGAAAGTTTAGTTGGGCGTGACCGATCATATGATACCCTACACCAGTTATGAATATTAAATGTGATTTATTTAAGCAATTTATGGATGAAAAACTAATTTTCTGAAAGAGGCTTTATATAGGGGCTAGGGGCAATTATGGACCAAGCCCGATAAAATTTTGTGAATATTTATATAATATTTATTTGTGTTGTGAATTTCATCGCGATATTTGTGTTTATAAGTTAATTTTGGACATTCAAGTAATTTTCTGAAGGAGACTTTGTATGGGAGCTAGGGTTGTATAAAACTTAGTTTTTCCGCTTTTTATTGATATATAGTTTTATTTAACATAATTATGAGTTCATAAGGGTTTCGGGGGTTCTGTTGTATGGGGCTAGGTGAAATAATGGACCGATTTTAAACATTTTAACCGATTGGGCTTTGTATCTCAGATGGACGGACGGATATATGTAGCTTAATCGACTTAGAAAACAATTTTAAGCCTATTGGTATACTTTTAGCTGGGTATAGGACGAATATTTTTGTATGTTACAAACATCAACACAAACCCAATATACCCTCCCCACTAAAGTGGTGTAGGGTATAAATAGTATTTTTGGTGGGTATATACATATTATTCCGCCAATTCTTATTTGTTAAATTTTTAAAATATTTTAATAGCTTTTATAAAATTGTTATTAAGCTATTAAGATCAATCGTAGATCATATTTTGATTGTAACAATTATTTAAATAGGATTTGGTGTCACTTTGCAACAGGCTTTACTTCTTGATAGATCTAAAAGAAGCTTTATCAAGACAACTTAATTTAAATAAAACCATTAATTTCATATATAAATAATATTAAGATTATATTTATTTTAAGATTTTAATCTCACGTTAGAATAAGCGATTGCTTAAGGCAAATTCTTAATTACATTTAAAGTGTAGTAAGAAATCTATGATTAAAATTGATTTAGATTAAAAAATTAACATTGGAATTTTTAATACATATTTCTTAGTTTATTACTATAAAATACAAGTTATAAATTTAAAAAGTCTGGTAGTATTTTAAATGCCATTTATGTAGATTTATAAAAAAAGTTAATGTATAACATCTACCTAGCAATGACGGTGACCATACGCAGACGATGTAGTGCAACAGACCAGAGTCTCTGGTTGGAATCGAACACATGACCCCCTGATAGACCTAGCATGCTCTCAAATAGTGTGACATAAAACAACCATCAAAGATACGAACTTGTATCTCATATTTATTTGTCCTCGGTCCACTTATTGTGAGTATTTTCCTCAGTTGCTAAAGTAAAATGGCAAAAAACTAATATAATTACTTATACATCAGGTTATATGTCATTCATTGGTAATAAAATAAACGTAAAATCTTAAGTTTTGATATTAAAATCAAACAAAAGCAACGATTTCTTATTGTGTCTTTATATGTATTTGCATATAAGCGATATAATTAATTTCAGAATTATATTTGTAATATCTCTCCTCTTCTCTTATTGTAACAACTTTCACCACCGTTCCTTTAAACGGCTCATTATTAAAAAAAAACCTTAATAAAAACTTTTTTAATAAAACATCTCTCCCATAAATCCATTATAATAAAGATCATATTTCAAACTGTTTTAAACAATAATCAATCAAATTTATTATATTTAAATATTTATTAAATTTGCTATACATCATGCAAAAATGTGAAACCGAAAAAAAAATAATAATATTCACAACTTTTCAACATTCAGAGGTTGTTAACATTTCAGTTAAATTCAAATAAAATTTGTGTTAAATTGTATGCAGATTTTAAAGTTATTTAACAAAACGACTTATGGACAGAAATGTGATTAATTAAGTTTTTTGTTTTGTTTTTTAGAAACACCTCTATATGCGATTTGAAAAAAATGTATTTGTGCAAAATCATGTATTAAAAACTAATTAGGAATGTGAAGAGATGAAGTTAAATGTATGGGAAAAAATTTTGTTAAATTAAAAATATTATGATTGATAAATTGAATAGAGTGCATTCGCTGCGTTAATTAATTGATTTCTTTTAATTATAATTAAAAATAGAGATTTTATTGATTAATTTAATTTGAAAACAATTCTAAATATTTATTATATTTTCTATTTAGAAATAGGCTTTGAAAACTCCTTAAAGAAAGGACTTTTATAAACTAAAAAAAAATCTGTACGATCAAGAAAAATATTTGGCCATATTTATCGTCTCATTGAGATTTTGATTACATGGCCTGCCAGCAAATTTTTAGCTCAAGAATTCATACATTAATTTTTCAACGAAACCAACAAAAACATCGTTAAACATAGTGATTAAAAAGCACGAATAACTTGTATTATCTAATATAGAGGCGTAACACCACAATGATTATTATTTAATTTTTTCTTAACAAGTATTACATAGTTTTACAAAGAAAAAAATACTTCTTTTCTTTAAACATCTCACAGTGATGCAATTCAAATCATCAACAAAAAAAGCTCCTAAACACATTCATATTTTTATTAAAATGCTATTTAAAGCCTGGGAACTCATAATCATGGATCATAAATACTTTATATGATAATTGTGTTAAATGAAATTAAAAAAAAATATATAAAAAGATGATTTGTGCAATATTAATTTTGTGGGTTTTATTATTTCAAATTTGTTATGGTCTATAGTCAATAATTGTTAAGATCCAGCATACTGGATAAATCTCTTATAAATCTAATAATACTTTGGTAATTCATAAATAATCCTGAGAAAAATATTAAATAAAAAATATGTTTAATAATAATTTCCGCATAGTTGATTATGATGGTTAATAAATTTATATTTGATTACCCTTAATTTTAGTTTAATATTTAACGTCACAGACTTAAGACCTAAAGTTAAGCAGACGTTTTTCAAAATGCATTGCCTGGTAGAAGTATTAAATTGCTGCCTTAAGTTGTAAAAACTTTAAAAAGGTTAATAAAAATGACCTTTTCAAAATAAACCATTTCTTAAATTGACCAATATGTTAAAACTAATAAATATTTAAAATTAAGCAAAGTAACGGCTTAGGATTAAATTATGGAAATCTGTATTACTTTGTAATTGTTAATCTTAATGTAAAAATTCATAAAGAAAAAGTAATAAAACACTCACCATTGTAAATAATTTTAAAGGGGATCTCTTCCACAACCAGCGAAGTAATCCTTTCCTTTGGATAAATTGTTATTTTGAAGTCAATTAATGTAAAATTTAAATTATGTCACTGTTTAAATTTAATAAGATAATAAATGACAATTAAACCATAAAAACAACACTTTCTATAAATTTATAATATTGAACAATACAACTGCACTTGTTGCACAAAAACATACATACTATCGCACACACTATTCAATAGATATTATGTATAACTTACAACAAATTTTATTAATGACGATTTAATATGACAAGGTAAACAAACACCTTGATATTTAAACTCAATGTTGGTTGGCTAATGACAGTTGTTATTTTTTTTAATTTACTAAATATAAAATTGTATTTTTTTATTTAGTTTCAAATTTAACAAAATTGCAAAATTTGTTTTTATTAGTTTGTTTTTATTATTATCAATAAAAGCAACAATTTCAAACTTCTAAAGCGTTATTTCCAATATTTTGTGTAACTTTATATGTATAACACTTATTTAACTGTTAATAAAAATAATATTGAATTTCATAAACATGCTTTAATTAAAGGAAACTTGAAATAAGTGTTTAATAAGTAGAGAGATTCATTTACACTTGCAAACTCAAGTACTCGTATCTGTCAAAATTAACACAAAAGGGGACAGGTATCTTAACTTTAATTGCTAAATGGAGTTGATTGAATTGTGAAGGGCTTAAATAAAAAGTTGATTTATTAAGAATATTGTTGTGACCGAACAACGGAAATATGTATGTTAACTAAATACTATTGAGTTGCGAAATGTAATATGATTAATTACATAAGTAAAATTTTCATGTGACAGTTTTAGCTTGTTTTGATTTCTATGGTAAAATTTTAAAGCAAATTAGTTCTTAAGGATCCGGAGGTCTAGCTTTATTTTACGTATTTGTTGTAATATGTATACATATATTCCTTAAACCAGACATACAGGTAGCGATTTTGTAGATAATTTTGATAAAATTTGGTACAAAGGTTTTCAAGGGTCAAAGCCTATTGAAAATGGTTAAAATTATTATATTATTGCAGTTAGTCTTCAGGAAACTGAACCTCCCGAAAAGGGAGGTTTGAGCTCATAATTATGTTAAATATACTTGCATCTTGTTAATAAGCGGCACAATACAGACTCCCGTGGGTTAGGTGGCCCCCGGTATGTTAAAGGTTAGTATCCTAGTCTGGTAGACCGGAGGTACTGGGTTCGACCCCCACCTGAGACACTAGTAAAGTGCGCACAACAGGCCCATACATACGTAGATGTATTTCTTCGGATCTGATGTATATACATCCTCCTTTCAAACTAACTAACTAACTAACTAACTAACTAACTAACTAACTAACTAACTAACTAACTAACTAACTAACTAACTAACTAACTAACTAACTAACTAACTAACTAACTAACTAACTAACTAACTAACTAACTAACTAACTAACTAACTAACTAACTAACTAACTAACTAACTAACTAACTAACTAACTAACTAACTAACTAACTAACTAACTAACTAACTACCTAACTAACTAACTAAATAACTAACTAACTAACTAACTAACTAACTAACTTACTAACAAACTAACTAACTGCCTTGATTGATCTTGCCGGATTTTAAATGATCAGGTCTCATTTCACCTTAGCTCTCATACAAAGCCCCCTTCAGAAAATGAGTTGAATGTCTACAATTAAAATATAAATACTATTATCGTGATGAAATTTAGCGCAAGTAAATATTATGTTAAAACCGCGATCGGTGACATTAGCCCCTGGCCTCCATATAAAGCCTTCTTAAATTTTTTTATCAATAAATAGAATTTAATAATCATAACTGGTGTAGGGTATCATATGGTCGGCCACGCCCGACTATACTTTCTTACTTGTTTTCTAATTAATTATCAACTACGATACAAAACCTATAATTTGAAACCAAGATTTATAAAATCGGAAAAAAGCATCTTAGAAAATAATCAATTTCATGCCTTTAAGAAAAAGAACTTAAAAATATGAACTTCGAACATAGATTGAATCAAAATCGTTCAAGAAAATTAAAAAGTTTTCTTTAATTAAGACTTTAATTTACTAGATAAGTTTGTATATCAAACATCTGTCTTTTAGAATAATAGAAAAAAAGTTATTTTATTTACGCACAAAATCATACAATAATTTTTCACCAAGTTAGCACTAAAACAAATGACACAATAGTAAATACTTCTAGAAAAACAACTAAACAAAAAATATTTTTTACTTAATTCATTTTTGAAAAAAAGTTACTTTTAAAAAGAGGTGATAATTAAAACAGACAACTGCTTACAAACTAAATATTCCTTATATGCAAAAAAATAAATAGGAGTTCGAAAAAAAACTACAAAAAATGTGGCTTTAAATTTTAGTGACCAAAAAATATATAAAATAAAAAATTAGCAAGAAAATCTAATAAACAAAGTTAAATGAAACTAAACTACATAAATTTCATGTTTAAATGAAATAAATTTATTTAATTGTTTGATTTTTTGTTTGTTTCACTGATCACAATTCTCATCAAGCACGAATTTATTTATAACAATTTTATTGCAATCAATTAAACGCACAGAGAGTTGGCTGGTTAGTTGGTTAATGGTTGGTTTGTGGTAATAACCAACAACAAGAGTTATTAAATGGCTAAAATACACCGTAGAAACAAGAAATGACCTAGTCACACCTTTATGACGTTTTTACTTTGTTTAATTTTATTTATTTTGGTATAGAAATAAAAAAACACACAAAAAATCGAAAAATAACTACTGCCCATAGTTGTGTTTTTAAGTTGTAACTACTGTTTATTTATGGTAGAAATTTTTCTGCAAATTTTTTAGCAAACAAAACAAACTATGTTTTGATAAACTTGGCAACAACTATGCTAAAAAAGTCAAATTTGTACCTAAAACAAATAACATAGATATTTAATATTTATATACTTAAATTTAACAATTTAGTACTTGTCGTAAAATGTACTGAAGAAAATTTTATGAATTTCACAAAACTTCAAATAATAACTCCTTACCAAAAAAAATACTAAAAACGCAGTAAAAACAAAACTTACAAGACATTTTAATGTCAACCATATAAAATAATGGTCAAATTATGCAAAAGAACTCTTTAATTCGTGGGAAGTGGCAGGCGTTCAGTCTGTTAGACAAACAGCCAGTTTACTGCAATAAATGGACGTGCTTGATAAAAAATATCAAAAGACTTAAGACATAAACTTGAATTCAATTGAGTTGTTTTTTTTTTTTTTTTTTGTCGAACATTTAAATCATTGATAAATTATGAGCATTATACGTGTTTAAAATAATTGTTATTTAATTAAGCTTTAAATCTATGAATACGTTGAAATAGTTTTGAAAATTAAATCTTTGTCAATCAAAAATTTTGCAAGAAATTCTAATATTTTCCTAGTTGCGTTAAATATTATGAAATATTATAATTTGTTTCCGTCTATTATTTGTTATTATTATGAATTAAAAATAAGCAAATTTAGAAAAAATATTAATTACATCCCCCACACCTACAAACGTATGTATATTATAACCCCTAACACTAAAAAATTGCTAAAATTTCCTCTCAACACTCATAATTAACTGGTAATAAACTAATGCAACTAAATGCAGTCTTTATATATTTAAAAAAATAAATAACGTTTATTTTTTTTTTTTTGTCAAACAAATGAAAGTTTTCCAAAATTCATAAACGACTAAATAACCGCTTTAAAAGTTTTTCAACCTGTGCACTACTTTTAACTACTGGTGACTTTTCAACACATTTCACCCACCAAAAAAATGGGGTTACAATGGTTTAACCTAAAATTAACAACAATTACTTTTTAGTTGTTATTAAATATTTATTGCAGATAAATTTCAGCCAACCATTATTCCACCAAACCCAAGAAAACCTCACAAATACACACCAAAATATTTGGCATGTCTGGAGTTTGAAGTCAGTCGCACAGTTTTAATAAGTTGCGATGGCGCTACATGGAACGTTTGTTTCTTTTAACAATGAATTACTCATTGAAAAACCACAAAATCCCTTTATTTTCTTTATTTAAACAAAAAATATTATCTGTCAAGACTTTCATTGTGTTTGGTTTTTTAAATAACAGTTTTTTTTTTCTTATTAAATTTTTCCATTTTGCGATTTTTTAATTTTTTGCAATAATATCATAAATTTCAAGATCACTTGCTTATGATAAAATGTCACACTCACAAAATGTACATTAACTTTATTATTTTAAGTAATTTTTTCTTTATTTTAGCCTGAAATTTGTTTGTGTTTTTGTTTATATTTATTTTATTATTTAAGTGCTGCAATTACACCACCTCATTCATATCATACATTGTAACACGAGCTGAATTTTGTGTGACGTTTTTTGTTTTTGTTACTTTTTTATTTTACTTATTTAGTTTTAAAAATAAACTGCAAACGACAATTTTAACCGCATAATAAATTTTAGATTTAGTGATTATTTGTGGTAGATAAATAATTCTTAGCCAATAAAAGGAATAAAGACAAACAGGTCTTTTGAAATGATACTAATGTGTGTTGTGAATTTATTTATGTGAATATAATTTGTGATTAAATTACCGTGTTACATTTTTTGTTTTTTAATTTTAAGAAAAACTTATATTAATATTTCATTGCAATAATTTTGAAATATCTCTATGTTCCTTAGAGAGCAAGTGATAAAATAAATGGTGATTTTAAATGAAAGATTTGAATGGATAGGAGCAAAAGTTATCAGCAGTAAAGAAAAATTTAACATGAATTTATAGTCGGGCATGGTCGACCATATGATACCCTACACCAGTCATTATGTTATAAATTTTGATTATTTTTTTTTTTTTTAATAAAGTATTTAATTTAACAATTTGTTGACAAAAAAGTATTTTCTAAGAGAGGGGTTATATGAGGACAGTTGCTTAATATGATCCTATCCTTATAAATTTTGGTAGAGGGATTTACGTCTATATCAGTTATTTTTGCAAAATATCATCGTGTTACTAGTGTTTATAAGTGAATTTTGACCTTCACGTCATTTTATGAAGGATACTTTGTATGGGGGATAGGGTCAATTGAAGACCGATCATTACGAAAATCAGCAGTATCATTAAGTTTTGCCGATTTTTGAAGTGATACAAGAACATTTAACATATTTATGATCTCAAAAGCCCTATTCGGGGGGGTACGGCTGTATGAGGCTTTATCCATGGGTTAAAAGAGGAGTATGTGCCAAATTTTATTAAATTATTTTGAAAATTGCGATTCAGAAAGTGATTCTGAGCCGATTGGTATACTTTAAGGTGGGTGTAGGACCAATATTTTTAGGTGTTACAAACATCAGCACAAACGCATAATATCCTCCCCACTATAGTGGTGTAGGGTATAATAACAATAAAAAAAATAAATTAAATGTTTTAAAATTAAACAAGTAAGAAAGTATGGTCGGACATGGCCGACTATATGATAGCCTACACCATGGGTATATTTTTAAAATTATTTATTTTTCATAAAGAAACTTTTATGTTGAATTTTACCTTAATTCCGATGTATTTAAGCAATTTATTGATGAAAAACAACATTTCTAAAAGGGAGTTAGGGTCAAATATGGGCCGATCCTTAGAAAATTGGGAAGAGGGATGTTTTATATAAAGGTTAGTTGTTCTGAATTTCACCGCGATACTAATGGTTATAAGTAAATTTTTGGACGTTTAAAATATTTTTAAAAAAGGGGTTTGTATGGGGGCTAGGGACAAACGACGGCCGATCATTATAAAATTTAGCATGGTCATTTATGCCTATATAAAATTTAGTTTTGCCATAGTAGTATAATTGTGAGATTTGTATATAATGGACCGATTTCAACCATTTTCAATAGGCATCGCCATTGTGCAAAAAAAAATCGTATAGTCCAAATTCTTGAAAATTGTGGCCTGTAGCTTGCGCACAGGGTTTACATGGACAGCCAGCCAGCCACCTGACAGACGGACGGACATGTCTTAATCGACTCAGAAAGTGATTCTTAGTCGATCGGTATACTTTAAGGTGGGTGTAAGACCAATATTTTTATGCGTTACAAAAATCAGCCGTAACGCATAATACTCTCCTCACTATAGTGCAGGGTATAAAAATATATATTTAAAAAATATTATATTCTATTCCTATGTTATATTATTTAAAAAAATAAAATAAATGTTTCCCAGTTCTAAAACGTATATAGCCTGTACTCGTCCTATTTTGGCCGTAATTGCCACCTTCGGAACTGGTTGTTGGGGAAGCGTTATGGAGTCGACACCCGTTCTATGCAATATTTTTGAAACCATTTTTTGTTTAAATGATTTTTATTCAAAATTTATTCTAGTTCTTCGGAAGCTTTAAAGAATACACTCCTTTATTAGAACAATTTTGGAACTAATTTTTTAGCGGGTTTTCTTAACAATTGTGGAGATTGGGACCAATTTTGTGAAACCATTGATGATTGGCTTAATTATATTTAGAAATTTTAGTTACAATATTTTTCGAAAAATTTTGATATTTTGAAATATTTTATTTTCAATTTTTTTTTTTCAAAACAATTCGTAGTTCAACTCCTTATATGAAATTGCTTTTTTACATTTTTATGAAAAAAAAAATTAATTTTATTTCAAATTTATTTAAATTTTTTTAGAACAAGTATGGGTGTCATAGAACTAGTGTTGTTCCAATCTATGTATACATGTATACATTATAAAATTAGTGTCAATTTTAGTCTCATGAACGGATTTCAGAAGATTTTTGGTAATTAAGAATATGAAGTTTTATAATAAAGTAAATTCTATTTTTTTTTTTTTTTTATTTAAAAAAAAATAAAGATTATTTAGTTTTTTTTATTTCACTGCTTATTGTTTTGTAATTTAGGTTAGCTTGGGTTAAGAAGGGTTTGGACCATTTTTTTATGAATGAAAATGTTTAAAAAATTATATGTCCACAATACTTTTCTTAATTTCTTTACATAAAAAGTGTTGTTTTTCAACAATTTTTAAATACAGTTTTTATAAGACTATTAAAATAAATTGTTGCTTTTTAATTTGTTTTTTTATTTTAATTTATTTTATATATTTGAATCTTTATATTTATTAAAATAATATTTTATTTATTTTTAATTCTTATGATTCTTAAAATCCATTCTTTTTTAAACAATTTTTCATAATTCTTACAATTTTATTTCACTAATATTTATTTTCTAAACACGTTCAAGTAAGAAAAACCGCTTAAACGTGACAGAACACTTTGAAGACACGAGCCACACTGAATTTGCCAAATGCAAACGATTCAACACAAAGTCTTTTTCGAAATATAAATTCAAAATAAAAAAAAAAAAACAAGATAAAAATATAAACAACAACTACAACCAAAACAAATTAAAGTCACAAACAACACTGGCTAAAATAAACAAAAACAACCGAAACGTAATACTACTCGTACTAAATATGAAATAAACAGAAAACAAAACAAAAGGAAAAAAACTAAACAACAAACAAACATATATTTAATTCAAAGTTTAAAGAGAGTAAAGTACGAAAAGAGCAATTGAGTTCAGTATGCTAAGTAAAGGGAACCGGGTTTTGTTATTACAGATTACAACTAACTTAATTACAAACATCTTAACTAATGTTTAGAAATGCAAAGAGAGAATAAAAGCGTAAACATTGTAACTAGTTTGAAAATTACGGTAAATGTAGGGGTTTTTTCCGTTAAGATTAAAGGGTTTTATAAACAACAGCAACATGTTGCTTCAACATTTTACAGGAAATGTTTAGCAACATTTTTTACTACACAAATTAGCATAAAATTTATTGCGTTTTATTATAGCTTTTAAAAAATATATAAAATAAAATTTTATTTATCTTAATGTAAATTTTTGCTGTAGATTTTATTATTCGAATTTGAAAAAAATGTCATGGAAGGGCGTATCATAAACAAAATATCATTAAATTACTTAATTAAATAAAGTTAACACTTGCTCTCTTTTAAGTCGGTTTTCGGTTTTATGGATGATGTCAGTTCAATAATACCATTAAACATGTTTATTTTTGTTACCGTTTTTTTATTTCTTTTTACACGTTTTTACACCAAATACTCATATGCATACGTACATATGTACATCAGATGTAATATATATGTAAGTATCATTTTAAGTAATATTTAAAAATAAATTTTTAATAATTTTTATAATTCACATACAATAAATTTAACAACATTTTATTTTTCTTTTGTACTTTCTTTGTTGTTATTTAAGTTAAATTAAGTGACATTTTTAAAAATAATTTGTTTTCCTCAAACTTCATTAAAAACAAGTAAGAATTTATAGTCGGGCATGACCGTCCATATGATACTCTACACCAGTGATTATGTTAAAAATGTAATTTTTTTTTTTCAAATAATATATTTAATATTTCCTTAATTCAGAAATACTTTAACAATTTGTTGACAAGGAAAGGGTTTGCTAAAAGAGGGGTTATATGGGGGCAGAGGATTAATAAGGACCTATCCTCATAAATTTTGGTAGAGGGATTAAAGTCTACATTAATGATATTTATGAAGAATATCATCGCGATATTAGTGTTTATAAGTGAATTTTAACATTCAAGTGGCTCGCTAATTACGAAAAGCAGCAGTATCATTAAGACTTATATAAAATTAAGTTTTATCGGTTTTTGGAGTGATACAATAACATTTAACATATTTATGAACTCAAAAGCCCTATTCGGGGAGTAAGGTTCTATAGGGGCTATGCGAAATAATGGACCGATTTTAACCACTTTCAATAGCATTCGTTAAAAAAAGAGTATGTGCCAAATTTCATCAAATTATCTTGAAAATTGTGACCTGTAGCGTGCACAGACAGACATAGCTAAATCGACTCAGAAAGGGATTCTGTGACGATTAGTATACTTTAAGGTGTATGACCAATATTTTTGGGTATTACAAACATCAACACAAATGCATAATAACCTCCCCCCTATAGTGGTGTAGGGTATAATAACACAATTTGAATGAAAGGATAAATTTTGTAAAATGTATAGAAATCTTAAATTCAGACGAATTAGATATGAATTGAAGTACAAAATAAATCGATTTTGATAAAATTAACACAACTGAAAAACATTTTTTTTCAACCCAAATAAATTCAATTTAGGTTGATTTTTATACTTCTTTCAAGTGTATCTAATTTATTCAACTCATTAATCATTTTCATACGCACTTAATCTAAAAGAAATAACAAAAAATGTTGTGCAGTTGTCAACACTTGTATTGTTTGGTTTAAAATCATTTGTGTCTTGAAGTGTTCGTTTATTCATTTATTTTGTGTTAAACGTTGTAAAATATAGTTTAAATTAAATAAAAATGGTCATTTATTATTTTCATTGTGTATTGTTGCATGTGATGTGTTGATAAATTTGATTTGTTTTATATTATGAGAGTTGAGTTATACTAGAAAAAAAAATCTTAAAATGCGTAACTTTATTTAGTTTTTGTTTAGTCTGTCGTCAGGGTTAAAGACAAGAAGTCAAAGTTTAGTATTTATGCGTATATTTCTACAGATACTAAGACACTGGTGTCCGTTTCGTTTAATTGTTTTTTTATGCTGTATCACGAATCGATTAATGTTTGTTTTTGAGCTTTTGTTACACTTTAATTGATTTATTTATGTATCTTTCAAGGTTAATTAATTTTAACGACAGTTTGTATTATTATGTTTGTTTCTTGTTAAAAAACGCTACTACATGGCGCCTGCAAGCAAGCCAGAACAATTAATCGTTTTAGGAAGAGATTTTTAAATATTAACAAGCTCTTATTTTATTAATTTTGTATCCTTTGTTTTAAAATTCAAATACAAAAACTGCAATAAACAGAAAATTTTTCATATTTTAAAAACAATTGTTTTAAACAAAAGACTTAAGACACAAACCTTTTTTACAACGACTTACGGAAAGAGGTTTGTGTCTTAAGTCTTTGTTTTATAATGAACTTATGATAAGTGTATTGTATGCAGTTGCATATTGTTTTAAGGCCACAAACAATTTGTTGTTTATTATTTTGTGAAATTGATAAATAATACTTTAAAGAAATACCTTATAAAGCATTTTAATATTTTTAATTAATTTTAGTTTTTTTACAGATAAACACCGACTTCGTGGATATTTTACACCTAGAACAGGATTTGAAAAATTGGTACAATTATGCAATTGCTTTTGGTACAATTCAATCTTTAAATCCTAAAAGTACTATGTTGAATGCTGTTTTATACAATACGAAAATTCCTTTTGCCATCCTTCATACAGAATATTTCCCTTCTTATTACAACAGCAAATGTGAATGTATGTACTAAGTACATTGTACTTACGTATGTATGTTGCTGTAAATGAATGTTCGAAACATTAAAATGTATTTATATGATTGTAACTTTGGTGGTGGGTTTTACAAAAAATTGAACCTCATCTACTTAGTTAAACAATTTGTAATACATTTTCTATTTAACAATTCTCACTCAGTCGATGTTAAATATTGTATAAGTAATTTAGTTTTAGCTGATAAAATCATACTTACCTGGCGTAGGGGTTAACCGTGATCATGAAGGCGGTTCCCCCGGAGTGAGGCTTGATCATTGCACTTTACGATTGAGTTGACCTCCGCGATTATTCCTAATGTGAATAACTCGTGCGTAAAATTTTTGTTAGCCGGGAATGGCGTTCGCGCCGTCCCGAATTAAAAATACATTTCAATATTTATAACAAAGAATAATAAGAAGTTGGATTATTATATTGTTTTACAACAATAACATTTCCTTCTCTTCACAGACGAGTTCTGTGTAAATTCAACACACTTGTGAGAACTCAATTCTCTCACAATACTTCAAAACTTTTTCGCGAAAATACCGGGATAATAGGACTTGAACGACGTTTTTTTACAACACATAACTATTTTTTAATTTTTTACACAATTTTATCGCATTTAACAATCCGAAATATTTTTATTTTTCACAAACTAAAAAAAATATTTTTTAAATTTTTTTGACAATTAATTTTTGTGTGTTGAAATTAAAATTGACAAAACAAAGTTGTATATTTTAGTATTGAAAATGAAAAAATTATTTAAAATAAACTTATATTTTTGCAAAAAAAGAGATTTTAAGTCCGAAAAATATATTTATTAAATGTTTACTGAAAACCTACTTTACGATTTTGAGGATTCTAGCTTTAATAGTTTTTCAGCTTTGTATTAAATTCATGTGGGAGGTGATTTGAAAATTCTACCTCTAATAGTCTCCCAGATGTGGGAATTTTTGTATTTAATTGCTATGGGAGATGCCACGCCCCCGATTGCCTAAATATTCAGATGGATGTCAAAGTCGTTTGTATAAAATTTTAAATTTTATTTCTCGGATATGCGAATTTTTGTATTTAATGAATATAATCAGTAAGTATTTTTACAATTCTATTTAATTTTATATTTGTATTTTTTTAATTAAATGCTGGTGGTATTCGTACGGAAATATACTCTTCACATAATTAATTATTGCCAATATATTATAAAAATAATATAATTGATTTATTTACTTTTGTGTTAAGTTTGATTGAACTGCTGAAATGATGTATTATCATTTTATTTTGCTTTGTCTTTAAGTGGAAGCCAAATATAATTTTATTATATTATATACATACATACATATGTATATGTATGCATTAATAATCTATATATATATATAAATGAATGTCTGTTTATTTGTTTGTGGGTTTGTTTGTTTGAAGTCTATAGACGGCTAAACGGCTGGACCGATTTTCTTGATATTTTAACAGTATCTTCCTGTATATCTGGAAGGAACTATAGGCTACTTTTTATTTTAAAATTTCAAGTAGGCGAGGTGCCATGGCTTACTTATTAAATAACTATTAAAAGTCATATATTTTGCAAAAAGGACTTTCATATTCATCTGAACCTTTTGGGAAAAAAAGGGGACTTTCATCAGGGGATGGCTTGGAACTCCCATATGAATTATATAGACAAATTTGTATATCTGAGATACTGTAGAAGCTAGAATCTTCAAATTTTACATGAAGAACTTTGACATTCATGTGAACATTTAGAGAAAAATTGGTGGACTTTGAATGGGGGGATTGGCCCCTCCCATATATCCCATGTGTAAGTGTTTTTTTTTTTTGCTTTTAGGGTAGCAAAGCACACTGGGTATAGCTAGTTTAAAATATAATGTAAATTAATAGTCAATTAATAGCGGCAGCA